CGTCTTTCTGCGAATATCGGACGCTACCCACATTCTATGACATGAGCTTTTCCTGTTGGTATGCCATCAATTTCCATATTCCAAACAATTTTAAAATATTATATTGGAATATGCAGATTACGCTTACGCATATTACGCCACATGTGACAGCACCCTAAGATTGTTGGTCTTTAATAGTATTTCGTTGGTAAATCTGGTAACCCTGAGTTGGAGTGTTAACCGCCATTTGAGTATCTTTTAATCGCCGGGACGAAGAAAAGTGATTGAGGAAAAGTGTGTAAAGTACAATTTCGTAATTCCAATTTTCAATTTAATTCTTCAATAGAACCCTTACTACATCTTAGTTGCTACTTATTTTACGTTATTATCATAAACATGGCAGTGCAACCTAACCAACAGTTCAGCATGGGTAAGATGCTTCACTTAATCAAAATCTTATGTAGGCTCGTTTTATTGTCTTAATATAAAATTATTTATTTCAGATCCTCCTACACAACAAAGCTTTGTTAGATTTTTCAAAAGTCTTCCAGAGGTGAGTGATCGAATATGCTGCGTATGGATATAATGATTAAAATTTTTTCTTATAATTATATTAATTATCTTTTCAATGTCGATCATTTTGTATTTTTATGAGTACATTTTTCTAAATATAGTATCGATTATTAATAGAAAAATGCTATAATACATATATTTTCTTTTATATATTTCTTTTGTTAATAATAAGTTACATATAAAAAATATATTTATTATAGAATGATTACAATGATTATAATAATTAAGAAAAATTATTTTTGTTATATTATTATTATATACTTTTCTAAATAAAATATATTTTATTAAGGAATATTCTCATAGCAGTTTGATATATTTATTTATTAACAATAAAAATTAGGATGAAAAATAATTACATTTAATTTTGTTAAACTCTATTTTTTCTTGCATTTGAATTATTGATGAAATGATAATATTTTGTGAATAAATGCTACATTTAAGTGAAGATCTGAACATTTTTTTAATGTTTATGTATACAAAAGAGACATAATACTTCTATTAAGAAAGAAAATATATTTTTATTTATATAAAATAATGAAAGTTATCTCTTAGTTTTACAATAATAATGTTTTACAATAATACTAATTAAGAATTAAAAATGAGCTTATGATATAATGATTATGTGTTTCATTCTTGATTCGCTTTGATTTTTTTATTGGTAACTGGTAAATATAAATTGGTAAATATACATACATTACTTAAATAAATGTAAAAATTCAATGTCTTAACTCAAAATGTGAAAGAAATTTTGTTTAAATAAGTAATTTTTAAATAAAATAAACAATATCTAGCCAAAAATTTCCTTGGCTCTTTCTTTAGCCTTGTCATATGTGCTAGTTATTTTATGACCAAGTTTATTCCAGAAGGATGGTTGGGTTGTAGTCTCTATTATTTGTGTTGTAGTTTCTGTCACTTCTGTTGTATCTGCAATTTCTGGTATATTGTGCACTGTGGACCATGTTCGAGGTATCATTGTTTCCCTTGGTTTTTCTCTGATATCCCATGGATCGTCACCATCCATAGGTGCCAAGGTAGCGCTAGGATTCGGCCTAATTCTGTTATAAAAATCATCATTACGCGATGTATATGGTCCTCCACCATATGCTTGCAAAATTCGGGATTCTATTTTATCTCCCGTTTGCTCTGTAGTTGGTGATGAGTGTCTATCTTGTTCTAAAGTCAGCTGAGAAATTTCAGTATTTTGCAATGGAATTACTTTTGATGGAATCTGTTCAGAATTTTGATTGAACTGATTGTCAAAACGGGATGTTTCAGTTTGTTGAAATGATTCTGACTGTTGATCATGTTGCGCTTGTGATTGAGAAATATATAAATTTTGACGTTCATCTTCAAACGTATGCTTATTCTGTACTTCTTGTTGATTAAAGTCAAATGGTCTTGATTGTTGTTGTATATTTTCTGTTTGCTGTGACATCGAGTTAACATTTAAACGAGGATAATAATTGTCCTGTGAACCTTCAACGTTAGTTAAATCACTTGGATGATAAGTATAATGCCATTGCAATCCTACTGTAGCATCATTTGATTTATGCACCCAATGTAACCGATCCATGTTTTCCTTTTCGTTATCGAATACGCTACTTTCTTGCGAATATGAAACCTTCGATGTATGAGGATTGGATTCAGGATATGGATCCGCGATTACGCGATTGCCATGCTGGATCATCCTTTCGCGAAGATTGTCTACATCAACCTCTGGACTTACCTCAATTGGTCTGGAAACATCAAGATTTGTATCTGTTCCATCTGTATGTGATAGAATGGAATCATGTTTTTGATATCGCTGTCTTGGTTTTGGTTTCGGTGCTGGTTTCAGACCAGTTGTTAATTGTTGGTTTTGATTAATTTGTTGAGTGAAATCTTGATTAAAATCCGTTTGTTGTGACATTTGTTCTAATTCAGATTGTTCGTTATTTCGATTGTTGTAAGATGGATATCGATGCGATTGTTGCGAGAGGTCATCTACATCCCAATTATTTTGTTGAGAATAATGTTCCAGACGCTGAGTATTATATCCTGGCCAACTAGGTTTCTGTTCTCTTTGTTGTCCAAACTCCAAACTTCCTGCTGTTTGTTGTGAGAAATCATCGAATCTTCCAATTTGCTGAGTTAAATCTTCGTTTTGCTGAGTCATGTCTTCCAAATGTTGACTGCCGACTTTTGGTTTATTAGATCTATGCGTTTGCTGCACTTGTTGTCCAAATTCTAATTGTCCCATTGTTTGTTGTGTAAAATCATCAAATTCGCTTACCTGTTGAGAGAAATCTGCATTTTGGTGATTGAATTCCTCTAGATGTTGACTTTTTGGCTTGTTAGATTTATCCATTGGTAGCAGTGGACCGAATTCCAGTTTCCCAATTGTTTGTTGCGTAAAATTTGATCCTGTTTGTTGTTCACTTTGCTTTTTTAAGTTTTCTATGTGCTGATTACCAATATTTTGTTGTCCAAATTCAAGTTGACCATCTCTCTGCTGTGAAAACTGTTCGCTTTGTTGTGTCAAATCTTCTAAATGTTGATTATCAACAATGTGCGGTCTAAATTCATGTTTATCTAATTGAGTTTGTTGCGTTAAATCATCTGATCTTGTTGTTCGCTGTGAAAATTGGTCTAATTGTTGAGTTTCGTCAGTTTGTTCTCCAAATTGAAGTTTGTCACTTTGTGGCGTAAAATCAGATCCTTGCATCATAAAGTGCTGCATTAAATCCTGCTCTAAATTCTGATTATTGACAATTTGCTGCCCGAATTCAAGTTGACCTTCCGTTTGCTGTGCGAGCTGTCCATTTTGCTGTATTAAATGTTGATTAACATCTATTTGTCGACCGAATTCAAGTTTGCCACTTTGCTGTGTAAAATCATCAGATCCTTCTGTCTGCTGTGTAAATTGTTCACTCTGTTGTGTCAAGTTTTCTAAGTGTGATTTGTCGACAGTTTGCTGACCAAATTCAAGCTGACCTTCTGTCTGCTGTGTAAATTGTTCATTCTGTTGTGTCAGATCTTCCTAATTGTTGTGACTCTTGACCGAACTCCTGATTCTGTTGCGTGAAATCCTCGTTGTCAGTTGTTTGATGTTGCTGCACGTCGCCGTGATGAACGTCTCGCTTATACTTTCTGTGATATCTGGTTTCCTGTTGATATTGCTGATGAGTTTCTTCGGTGCAATCGACACCATGTCCTACGTGTCCCGCGTGTCCTACGTGTCCCACGTGTCCCACGTCCCGCGACCCGGTGACGAGCTGTCCAGACGAACTCGTTCTGTACGCTGAATCATAATTGCTGCTGCTACTACTCGCACGAGACTCGTAACCCTGTGCGGAATGATAACGTCCGTGTTGCTCGTTATAGGCATCCCGATCGTAATGCGCTCTTTCCGTGTAACCGGCACCGGAATGGTCCACAGAAATTCGTTCGGGAGCTACGTTCCTTCCCGCGTGACTGGAGGAACTCCAGTGTTCCTCGTAGTGTCTCGTTTCGCCATTTCTGCTGGGATAGGTGATATGGCTTGAATGCGGATTGTACGCACGGGAACTCTCGGTAAGCAGCTGATTCTGGCTGACACTGGAGTGATGCGCACCTAAGACTTCTGCGCGACGGGTCTCGTCCAGGTGATGTCCACTTGAATGCACATTATGATAGTTCGTCTGATAACTACTACTGGGAACTTGTACGTAAGGGACAGGAGACAAATGACCAGGTTGAGGCGCGGGATGCACTCGGGACATATAGGTCTCGTGGCTCTGGTAAGTTCTTTGGCTTTCCGTGCCGTATGTATCTGGAGCCGCAGTTGGATATGGCAGCTGCTGCCTCGTATTGGTGAACGTCTGCTGTTGCTCGGTATAACGATGCTCGGTTCCGGTGGACGGAACGCGTCGGTAGCCCAAATGTTCTCTGTAGCCCTCACTCTCGGCGGTTTGCAGATCGTGGAAACCGGACGTTTCGTGAGTCAAACCTATCGTCGAATCTATGTGCGAAGTAGCGGCGGTGTGTCCGATGCTAGAGACCTGATGAAGATCTTTTCTAAGACTGTCGAGCTCTTTATGCAAGTTTCTTTGCAATTCACTGTGCAATTCGTTTACTGTCGCCGAACCAATGCTTGAGGTTTGAGGAACTCCAGACGTGCTGTAGCTGGAGGTGTAATTCTTTTTGTAATAACGAACCTTCTTAGGTCCGGTTACATATTGACCTTCCTCTTCGAAGACCTGTCCGCGACCTCCGTCGGTCCTATAAGAATCTACTCTACTCCAGTTTTCAGGGATTGTTTCGACATGATGCTGTGTACCGATAGTTTGAGAGCTGATGTTGGGGACGTGTTGAACCTGCGAATGTCCGCCATATTCTCCAAAATCTTCCAGTCTCTCGCTCTTGCTATCGATTCTCGTTGATGATGATTGTGTCTGTTGGCTGTGCACCCTATTGTATCCGGTTTCTTTTGTAACTGTTTGTCCTAATTGATTATATGTGCTTTGGGATTCCAAATGCTGGTTACTTGGTACCCGTATCGAATCATATCTGTGTTGTCCACTTAATTCGCCTAATTCCGCCGTATTCACTGCATTCACGTTACGTCCCGTGCCGTAGGACGAGGTGAAGTTCTTCTTGTAATATCGTACCCTTTTCGATCCTTCCACATATTGCCCTCGTTCTTCGTGGACTTTTCCATGACCACTATCCGTGCTGTATTGATTATGTTCAGTCCAGTTTCCTGGTTTGGCATAATTATTATCATTTAGATTCGTGCTTGCCTGAATCAAATTCGAATGATCTTGATAACCGCCCGATGTAGCATGGCTCTGATAAGCTGTTTCGTAAAAGTTGCAAGTTTCTATGCAGCCACTTGGTGCAGATAATGCTTGGGCGACTAACGCGGATAAAACGATTATCCGTCCTATCGCCATTATCCCTATCCGATCTCTGTGAAATAAAAATAAATATGCAAATATGTATAAATACTTAAAGCTAGATATTTAAAACATATACATTCTTTGATTTTCTTCCTTTACTCCTCTTTTTTCTTATCCATCCCTCTGGACATATATAAATAAGCTATTTCTTTTTAATCTAATTTTTCTAATTTCACATTTCTGATATACAAATAAAATTTTTTTACTTAATTAATCTTTCAAATACAATCTTTAAAAATATAAATTATGAAAGATTATTCATTCTTTAATTGTTTAGTTCTTTAATTGTGAATAAATGTATGGAATTAGGTTTTTAGAAAATAAAAGAATATATATACTTAATAAAAAGAGTGTTACTTTGTACAAAGAAAGTAGTGTTTTGAAAGTACTTGATTTTATGTTTTTGCAAAAAATAATCTAATAATTCTATGTTGGTATAAATTTATTTTTTATTTCAAGAACATTAATTCAGATTTGCTCTTCTATGAAAGTTATGTATGAAGATGTAACTTAATAAATAGGTTCATCAAAGTCATCTTTCATGATAAATGATAAATAAAGAGATAATACATGAGATGTATAAATCAAATTTATAATAGTATTAGTCGATTTCTTACACTCACAATCAAAACTCTTATCTTAATATGGTAAAGATGAAGTAACACAATTTTTTGCCTCTTTAAAAATATAAAATCGCCAAGGTTTTAATCTCATTTCAATTATTTGGCAAATGAAAAAAATATGTACGCAACATTTTTTTAAAATAAGATTTTGAATAATATAATAGTCTATGTTAAATTAAAAGGCAATTTTGTTATAACGTAAGTAATAGTAAGAAGATAAACCTATATCATTCATTTTATTCATTGATTGTCGTCTAGATAATATTTTGTCAAATTTAATGTTTACATACTTAATATGCATTTAACTTGCATTCACTAACAAATCACAATATTTCATACACTTAATCCACATCTGCCATTATAAAAGCGGCTATATTTTATTACCTTAAAATGGAAGATCGACAAACACTTATAATTCAGTTGTTAATGCAGAGATGTTCTCACTAACACTGTAGGCTCACATATAACAGAAGGAGATTACCACAAATCCATTTATGTTCTCTCCCCCTTCTTTCTCGAATGATTCTCGGAGTATTCTTTTTCGCTCTTACACATATTAGTGATCTTGCCTTTTTATTCATCACAGTTGAGACTTGTTCTTATCGTACACAATTCTCAGCAATAAGATTGGGTTCTACCGTTGACGTAAGTGTCAGAAATATGTAGTCTTATCTGTATCTATTAATTCCTTTTCGTACCCTTGTTATAAGTCCTTGTTGTAAACCTTGTGTACTACATTAACTCTTTGAAATTTTTTCAAGCTTTAGAATTTTATTTTGTAATTCTTCTATGTCACGCGAGAAAAGACATAATATTATTGAGAGAAAAATATTCTCCCTGTGCAAAAATAAATAATACCAAATTATTTGTTCTTAAACTTCTTTTTATATAATAATACGTTAAAAATCACAAAAAGAACAAGCCTGAAAGAAATGAATTAAAATAGAAAATAATGAGGAAAGATAATTTTATTTACAAATTGATCATGTTTAAATGTAACATTTGTATCCCTGTTAGTCTCCATATCCTCGTTTGATTAAAATTTTATTACAACATCTTGGCAGATAAACACACAATGCATTTTCTAATCACATATGTATATATACGCAACGGACATAACTCAATAACTTCCAGGTAATCGAGACAAGCGATTTTCCATATTTGGATTGATGTGTCATTGGTTAAGTCATTCTGAATTTGTAACGACGATCAGACTCACTTTCATTCAGTGATGCTAGGAACAATTTCAAGGTCGCCGTTACGTAAAGACCGTGAATCTTCCAGTAATATTTGTATTCTTGCGCTTGCACTTCGGAATGTAACGGTGGTAGCCGTACTTTTTACATAAAAAGAATTCAAAAAACAATACAAAGAACAAAAGAACGATGGCCCAGTTTATAACAGAAATTATTGACCTTCCTAGAATATGAACTCTGACTTTCCTTTATCATGCTAAGGGTGAAATGATATTTCTACGATAGTGACCTCAATATATGGGTGTCATTGAAGCTGTTGGGATTTCCCATTAAGAAATTAAGATGAGAAACACCTCAATGTATTCATTTATGTGATTTATATTAAAAAAAGCTATTTTATTTTTATGAGAAATGTTATTTAACATTATATCATTTTCTTTTTTTTTTCATTCTCTTACTTAGAACTGTTATAGCTATTATATCAAAAAGTCATTTAAATATTTATAGTGAAAATAAATGTATTAAGTTTTTTATATGAGAATATAAATCATATAAATTGACTTACTTTATTTTTTTTTTCAAAATATATATTAAACATATTAAATTTAACATATTATTAAATTTAATTTATATTATTAAACATATTAAAACATTTTGAACAATTTGTATATATATTAGAAACTTTCAATTTACCATCTCAAAATACAATTGCAATATTTCTGAATAAAATAAATGAAGAAATGTATGCTTGTCTCTATCAAGTTGCAAGTGAAAAGGAATTCTGCGAATAGGGGTGTTATTATTTGTAAAATTTTGCGGCGCCAATGAAATATTTCTTTAAATTCCAAACTTCTGTAAAATCACATCAATGCTGAGACGACCTATGATACTCTGACCTCTCGATAGGCATTGACCTACAGATATGTTAGCAAGGTTTTTAATTTCTCAGAAATATAAAATATATATGACGGTACTTCATAAAACAATGTATAATTCCAAATATTCGTAATAAATATGTAAAGGAATTTCTAGACGGAAACATGTATGACATGTTCACGAATGTTACAAAATAACATAATAGGAATGAAAGCTTTAAATTACAATTAAAAGATATTATTTAAAAAATTGCATTATCTTTAGAAGCTTGCACCGTTACTCAAATGGGTCAAGGATGAATTTAAATGATGATTTATACGGCGTCAGATTCACAATATATAACGCAATGACGTACTATGTGCTCTCAATTCGTCATACATATTATTTAAAATATTTCTTCGAATGTTGGAGAGAATCTAAAAGCGCAATATTCTACTAACATCATAATCTATAATATATTTCTGCATTTCGCAATAGAGATTACACACATGGGTATTGCACAGTAGAAATTCATGGAAACTCGATATCGACTCAATATAATAAATAAATTGACACATAATAATAATTGTGTATTTCAGAAACTTGATACTACGATTCGATTCTTCAATAGATCAGACTATTACACAGTACATGGAAGTGATGCTCTGTTTGCTGCACAAGAAGTGTTTAAAACAACATCTGTCTGTAAAATGATTGGAGCTGGTAAATATCATTTGAAAATTCTATAATTTCTTAGAACTTATGCAAAAGAATCATTAAATTTAGAAAAACTATAGTCTAATAATTAGATGCAAATATTTACTAGAATAAAAGTTTTCTTTTCTGATTTGAAAAATTTTATTTTTGATATATTTAAATCTTTTTATATTTTCTATTTATCTATGCATATTAGTTTATATATGTTTAAAAAGATAAAATTGATTTAATAAACTTTTTTAATAAACATTTATTATTTATCTCTATGTTTTATTGAATGAATTATCTAAGGTTTAAGGATAGTACAAGTTCAAATATCAATAATAAAATAAATATTTTTCTTGCAGAGCCAAATAAAACAGAAGGAGTTATTCTCAATAAAAGCCATTTTGAGACATTTGTACGCGATTTGTTATTAGTAAAGCAATATAGAGTTGAAGTTTATGTCAATCAAGGCTCTTCTAAAAATCAGAACTGGATCTTGGAGTACAAAGGTTCACCCGGCAATCTATCTCATTTCGAAGATATCTTGTTCAGTAATAATGATATAGCTGTGGGTGTATCCGTAATAGCTGTAAAACTGGGTACAGAAGGAAAGTCCAGAGTGAGTTTCATCATGCATGATTAAATGTATCCTGCTAAATATATAGGGTGATATAATTATAGAAATGCCTTATAGAAGCAATTTTATTAATTATAAAATTATGATTTTTCTAATATAAAAATAATATAATTATATGAATGTGATTATAACATATTTAAGAAATTTATTCTATAATTATAAAATAAAATATTCAATTAATTATAAAATAAAATATTCATTCATACTTAAATTATTAATATTTTACAGATTGTCGGTTTAAGCTGTGTAGATGTCGTTTCGACTCTAATTTCAGTCGCTGAATTTCAAGATAACGAATCATTTTCAAATCTAGAATCACTTGTTGTAACTTTAGCTCCAAAAGAGTGTTTATTGATTCAGGGAGAAGGAAGTTATGAATTTCAAACTCTCAAACAAGTATGTACAAATATAAATGAGAATCATTATATATTGTACTAAAAAGTATTTTGAGTTAATATTACGATTTCATATATACTTTTTCAGCTAATGGAAAGAAGTAACGTGATGGTTACATTAAGAAAAAAAATGAATTTGCGAGTGATTCGATCATAGATGATTTAAACACATTAATAAAATTTAAAAAAGGACAAAAACAAAATGCACAATCATTGCCCGAAGTTAATTTAAATTTAGCTATGTCTGCTACATCTGCACTAATCAAATATTTAGATGTAAATACCATAGTTTTATTTACAAAAATATATAGGATGTCTTATCTTTATTATATCAAATTTTGATGATATATTTGTTAATAAATTTGTTACTTTCTTTTTATAAAAAAAATAAAAATTAATAAAAAATAGCATGTAGAACTATTTAATAATTGAAAATATTATATATGTGACAAGAATACTATACTTTCTAATTATCCTAGTAAAAATACAAAAAGTTACAAAGATTTAGTATTAAATCTATATTAAGAATCTATATTAAGAAGATCTATATAAAGAAAGAAGTTTTTAAATCAGTTTATCATTAAAATTTATAATAAAGATGACACTCTCTTTCTATATATAATATATATATG